TTGCCGGGCAGCCTGCAGACCCTGCGCCCCCGGCTGGGCGGTTCCCCGCCCGGGCTCCAGCTGCGCTGGGGAAGCGCCAGCCGGGGGCGCAGGGTCTGGGGGCTGCCCGGCAAACCGTGAAGCTGGTAGCACTCGGGCAGCCCTTTCCGCGTGGCTGGGAGTGGGAGGGAGGAGGGGGCGGAGTTAGGGCGAGGAAGGGGCGGAGTTGGGGCAGGGCTGGGGGGGTGGGGAAATGGGCGGGGCCAGGGCCCGTGGAGGGTCCTCTTTTTTTATTTGCTAGATATGGTAACCCTACACTAGCCGCCACCTTCAGCCCCCAACTGAAACCTCTCCATCGCATCATCAAAGATCTACAACCTATCCTGAAAGACGATCTCTCACTCTCACAGATCTTGGGAGACAGACCAGTCCTCGCTTACAGACAGCCTCCCAACCTTAAGCAAATACTCACCAGCAACCGCACACCATACAACAAAAACACTAACCCAGGAACCTATCCTTGCAACAAAGCCCGATGCCAGCTATGTCCACATATCTATGAAAGTGACACCATCATAGGACCTAACCACATCAGCCATACCATCAGGGACTCATTCACCTGCACATCTACCAACGTGATATATGCCATCATGTGCCAGCAATGCCCCTCTGCCATGTATATTGGCCAAACTGGACAGTCTCTATGCAAAAGAATAAATGGACACAAATCAGACATCAGGAATCATAACATTCAAAAAACAGTGGGAGAACACTTCAACCTCTCTAATCACTCAGTGACAGACTTGAAGATGTCAGTTTTGCAACAAGAATACTTCAAAAACAGACTCCAAAGAGAGACTGCTGAACTCGAATTAATATGCAAATTAGACACAATTAACTTAGGCCTAAACAGCGACTGGGAATGGTTGGGTCATTACACTAATTGAATTTTTTTCCCCACATGTTAAGTTCTCCTCACACCTTCTATGGGTCATCTCGATTATCACTTCAAAGTTTTTTCTTCTGCTGCTACTGATAGCTCATCTCAATCGATTGGCCTCTTACAATTGGTACGCGTACTTCCACCTTTTCATGTTCTCTGGATGTATAAATATCTTCTGTCTGTGTGTTTCACTCTATGCGTCTGATGAAGTGAGCTGTAGCCCACGAAAGCTTATGCTGAAATAAATGTGTTAGTCTCTAAGGTGCCACAAGTCCTCCTGTTCTTTTTCCAAATAAATTTGTTAGTCTCTGAGGTGCCCCAAGGACGACTCCGTTGTTTTTGCTGATACAGACTAACATGGCTACCACTCCGAAACCTGTAAAACCGCTGGGAGATCCTAGAAACCTTGTGTGAAGTGCATGTCTATGCTCTTATTTATGTATCGCTATACTGCATAGTAGCCCCAATGGGAAGTTTACTCTTAAAGGTGACCTGCAAAGGGATGGGAGGGAAGTAGGTTTATGCCATTGTTTGCTGCTCTGGACTGGGATGTTTAAGAAGTTTTTATGGGGCGGGGGGAGATCCACCTCTTTTTACACACACACAAAAAAAGTCCTCCCAGCTGCTTCTTTATGTTAAAAATGTAAGTGGATGACTGAAGAACTAGACAAGATTTGATATCGCGAAACGGGGAGGGGGGTGGTAGGGGAGTAAACCTTCCACCCTTTTTGGCTGCCTTTCTCCATGATTAAGAAGCAAAAAGGAGCACACACCCGATTTAAAACAAAACATTCTTTGTAGGTCATCTTTAATTTCATCGGTGTTAACAAACTAATCCTCTTTTTGCTAAACTGCTGCATACAAAGGGAGAATAAATAAAACCCTTTCTTGACCCTTTACGGAAAAGTAAGGAAGATGCCTGGTGTTTCCTCAAGGGACTTTCACAAGAATCTAGAAAACAATTGAGTTTGGGATCCATCCTGTCATGCTTCTCCCAGATTTCTGCAGACTTGGCTACTTTGGAATGATGACGTACAAAGTGCTTCACCAGGGATAAGGAAACTGTGTGGGAGTTTCGGAGTAGCAGCCGTGTTAGTCTGTATCCGCAAAAAGAACAGGACTACTTGTGGCACCTTAGAAACTAACAAATTTATTTGAGTATCAGAGGGGTAGCCGTGTTAGTCTGAATCTGTAAAAAAGCAACAGAGGGTCCTGTGGCACCTTTGAGACTAACAGAAGTATTGGGAGCATAAGCTTTCGTGGGTACATCCGAAGAAGTTTCTGTAAGTGTGTGTGTGTGTGTGTGTGTGTATAATATACATGCATTTCTGTAAGGGTGTGTGTGTGTATATATATAATATATGCATTTCTGTAAGGGTGTGTGTGTGTGTGTGTGTGTGTATAATATACATGCATTTCTGTAAGGGTGTGTGTGTGTATATATATAATATATGCATTTCTGTAAGAGAGGTATGTGTGTGTGTGTATATAGGGTGGATGAGTGTGGAACCTTTGCTGCAGCCTACAGAGAAATCCCTTCCCAAGGTCACACAATCCCACCTTGCATGGCTGGCCACGCCTCCTCCCTCCAGATGGCCCCACCCACTTATCCTGGCCACGCCCTCCCACAGGTCACATTTCCACCTCGCCTAGCCGGCTCCGCCCCTCCCCCTCCCCTGCCGCTCAGGCCCCACCCTCTTCCTATCCCCGGCCCCGCCTCCTTGCGTCGTGACGCCAGACGCCTGCGCGGGGCGACGCGGCAGCGCCCCCCCCCTCCCTTCCCCGGCCGTGGCCCCGCCCCCTCGTGCCTGGCGTGGGGCTCCCTGTGGCTGGGTGGCTGAGCCGAGCCGAGCCGCGGCGGCCGCTGCTGAGACAAGATGGCGGCCCCGGGCGAGTACTTCAGTGTGGGCAGCCAGGTGTCGTGCCGGACCTGCCAGGAGCAGCGGCTGCAGGGCGAGGTGGTGGCCTTCGACTACCCCAGCAAGATGCTGGCGCTCAGTATCCGACCGGGCCTGGAGGGGAGAGCCGGGCCGGGGGGAAGCCGGAGCGGGGCCGGGGAGAACCGGGCCGAGCGGGGCCGGGGAAGGCCCGGAGAGGAGAACCGGGCTGGGGGGAGCGAGGCCCGGAGGGGAGAACCGGGCCGGGGGGAGCTGGAGCGGGGCTGCCGGGCCAGGTGCCCTGCGGCGCCCAGGGGGGCCGGCCGGGGTGGGGAGGGGAGAGCCCGCGGCTGGGAGCGGGCCTAGATGGGGGCGGGGAGGGGGGGACCTGCTCAGGTGGGGGCCCCCGTGGCTCTGCTGCGGCCTGGGAGTTGCCTGGCGGAGCGGGGAGAGCAGCGTGGGGGGGCTGGTGTGTGGGGAGGGGGGTGTCTGATTTTTTGGGGTGGGGGAGGGGGCTGTGATCTACCCATGGGATTGCATGGGGGGGGTGTTGTGTCTGATCTACCTGGGGCACTCTAGTGGGGGGAGAGAAGAGGCTGGGGGGGGGGCAATGCTGGCCGGCTTTGGAGGGAAAATGGAGCTGCTGGGTGGGGGAGGTTGAGTCTGATCTTGCCTTGGGACACGTGTTTGTGTGTGTGTGGGGGGGGAGATTTAAGGGCAAGAGGTAGATGCTCTGGGTAGATTGCTTGGAGAAAGAGGGATATGTGCTTGCTTCTCTGTGTGGCCCACTGCTGGCTATGTAGAGGTAGAAGCGGGGAATGGAGACCCTGGCAATACGTGAGCCCGTCGTTCGGCTCTGGACACACTTAAAAAGTTAGCCTAAAACAGGCCAGGCAGGCCTCTCGCCACATGCTTAGGAAAGGCTTTGCAAGCTGCCCCAAAGGTCGGTGTGCTCAGGCTCCTCAGGTCTGGGAGAGAGAGAGAAACTCCAGAATCAAAGTCCATATCACTGCCTGTGCGAGCTCTGTCTCCAACCTCCCCACCTTTGGGTGCTGCTAGCCAATGTCAGGACAGCGTCTGAGCTGGCCTTGGGAGTGCTGTGTTGAACCCTTCAAAAGGAAGAGCAGGCAGTCTGAGTAGATTGCTTTGTGGGATGTTACAATGGTTTCTCCCTTTCTGGTTTTATGGAGGAGGCAGTGCTATCCGGGTTTGATGAGAATGTGGATTTGAACAGCAAAGGGAGGTTGAGAAGTAGGGTCAGATGCTCTAGCTTGTGGGCCAGGTTTTGATCCTTTTCCAGAGAAAAGGATGTGATCTGGACACAGTGCTCTGGGGAGTGATGTACTTTCCCCAGTTTTCTCTCTCCTAAGTTTCTCCCCTTTTTAGGTGAGTTTCTGCAGGTGAGGGTTTCATATCAGCTGTAGTATTAACTTAGTCTGGTGGGAGGGAGATCTGATTGTTCTTTGCTCTTAAGCTGCAGGTGTCTCATTTATATGGATGAGGCCAGTCTCCCTCCCCTCCTAGGAGTGGAGAGGCAGTGGAGAGCCATATGTCTAATGCAGTCTCCTCACACTAATAAACCCACCATCTCTCTCTGCCTTGATATGTGCTTCTCTGCTTACTCCAGCAGACAGATGAAGGAGAGGAGGACTAACTATCCCTCTTCATCAGGAACAGATTGCGCAGGAATTAATGTCAGTTCTATAAAGGTTTTTCTGGGGGTGGTAAACTGGTGTCTAATTTACACTTTTCTGTCATTCTAGAAGTGTCAGAGTACCTCAAATGCATGTAAGGTTTATGTTATTGAAAATGTGGTAATGAATGGGAAAGTCTCTTATATGAATCTGGAGAGCTTGTCACCCGATTATTATCTAGGTGAAAGCATTAATAGAGTAACTTATGTTCAGGTTGCATCAGGTGGCATTTGCAGTAAGGGAATGCTCTTGGTAGAGACTCTAAACCTAGTATGTGTCTGTTAAGGTTTGTCTACATGAGGAAGTAATTCTGGAATAAGGTAGGGTATGAAATTAAAGGGCAATAGCTATCCTGCAATAACTATCCGTGCCCACTTTCTTATTCCAGAACGAGTGCCCACACAGAGCTGTTCTGGAGTAGTTTATTCTGCTAGGGCTACACTGGTGTTTTACAGCGCTGCAACTTTCTCGCTCGGGGGGTGAAAAAACACCCCCCCGAGCGCAGCAAGTTACAGCGCTATAAAGCGCCAGTGTAAATAGTGCCCCAGCGCTGGGAGCTAATCCCCTCGTGGAGGTGGAGTACCTGCAGCGCTGGGAGAGCGCTCTCCCAGCGCTTGCGCGCGACCACACTCGCACTTCAAAGCGCTGCCGCGGGAGCGCTTTGGAGTTTCAAGTGTAGCCACAGCCTTATTTTGGTCAGCTTCTCCATGTAGATAAGCAAAGGTTTATTGACTGATATCCATGCTGATCAGCAAAGCCTTGTCCCCATCACAGTCGAAACCATGACATGAACCCCTCTAAGTTTCCTTGACTAGAATGGGCAAGGTTGTATGTACCCCTGAAAAGCATGCTGTAGATCACACAGCATCCTAGGTTGTCTACAATGTAGATCCTGTCCCATGGTCAGGGAAACCATGCTAGCAGCAGCTGAGTTTAAATAGTTGTTGCTAGCACTGTTTCTGGTTTTTACTGCTGACCAATCGTTTCATTGTTATAGGGTTTAGTGTGGTAGAAGAACTTATCTGCTGAAAATCTAACTCTTCTATTGACTTGTTCTCTAAACTCCATCAAATAGCCCTCCTTACCCGTCGTCTTTTTAGACTTGTTAAGTATGTCTGCCTGGATTTGTTTTCCTTAATGCTGTTTTCCTCCAGAATGTCCCTCTTCCAGTGGAAAGCCCAACCACGCAGATATCCTGCTCGTAAACTTACAGTATGTTTCAGAAGTGGAAATAATTAATGACCGCACGGAAACCCCTCCTCCTTTAGCTTCACTCAATGTTAGCAAGGTAAGGACCCTTTATCCTTTTGTGTGCTCATGGGTTTACACTTGATTTGATTGACAGGAAGAGCTGAAAATCAGTTGCATTTCTTACTGTTAAAATACCCTGCTTTGCACGATGTTTGCTTAGCTGACATTGCTTTTATGAATTTAAATCAGAATATTCATGTGCATGGTGCTATTCTGGTTCCCCGTATACTGTGAAGCACTTAGATGTGCATTTAAGTTTCTATGTTAATGGGCAGTCTGGCCATCTTTATACTTAGTGATCATCATTCAGGCCTAAAGTAGAGAATGTGGAGGGTTTTTTTTCCAAGTTAACTAGTCCATGGACAAGTGAGTTCTTCATTGTGCAGATGAAAATGTGATGGTCTGGAATCTTGTGGCCATGCTTAATTAGCTGCATGTGTTTTGCCAAAGCATAGTATGGAGCAAACCTGGCTGAATGGAGCTAGAGGAGGAATGTATTCTTGTCCATTTCTTCTGCTTAATGTATTTTACAAGGAAACTGATGAGACCAACTTCTTTTAAGTCTTGGGTCCAACTTGCTGTTCAGCCAAGGCATCCATGATTTTAGTGCTGATCACCAGGCTTGTCTAGGTTGCTGGACGGTAGTTGACTGTTAGTACTGTAGAGGTGTACACTTTTTGGTCCTGTTGACGTTGTCAAAATCCAGGGGGCTTTTGGACCTGATTTCAACATGGCCTTGTCATGGAGACTGGCTCTGTGGCTTAATCATCCTGAAGTGTGCCACAGCCTTGGCGTCTAAAGTGCTGTAGGTGCAATTTGGGACCACGGTGTAGGCCACTCTGCACCATAAGACCCCACTCTGTCAGGGTTTTACTGTGTTGTGACTGGACTCAAGCATGGCTTATAGGCTACACGGACCTATGATCCTAAAGCCCTGTCTACATTATGGATACCACAGGGGCATAGCTGCAGCACTGTACCACCTATGGTGTAGACCTTTCCAACTGTGCGGAAGAGGTTTTTCTGTTGCTGTAGGAGTGCCACCTCCCTGAGCAATTGTAGCTATGTTGACAGAAGCATTCTTACCATCCACCTAGCTGCATCTATGCTGGGGGTTAGGTCTGCATAGCTACGGTGTTTGGGTGTGGATTTTTCAGATCCTGAGTGCTGGAACTACGTCTACGTAACTTTTAAGTGTAGACCAGACCTAATAACGGCAAGATGGCATCTGAATATTAAAGGTGTGTGAAGTGGCAGTGAGCGAAGGCTTCCTGCATTCAGTACCTCAGTGACTAATGTTTTACTGTTCTGTTAGCATCTCTTCTAGAAAAACTGCAGCTGTGTAGATCCCTCTGCTTCCTGATGAAGCCCTGGTATTTCAGCAGTAGAAAATGACACAATGCTGCCCTTGCAACAAAGCAGGAAGTGAAGAGTAACTTTCCTGTGTCTTAAGTGCAGTGGAAATCTAGGTAGCTAGATTACAATCACCTGAGCTGGAATTTAGCCAGGACACTAGGGCTAACACCTATAGTCTTATATAAAGTGCAACAGGCTCTCCAGTGACCACAAGCAGTCAGGATCTCTCAGCCAAAAAATAACTTGCTTGATAGTGCTGTCTCCTTGCAGTGCTAATATAGGGTTGTGCATTCATTGCTCACAGAGCTTGCCATCCGCTGAGTCTCCCATCACTGCTCCCTGCAGCACCCAGGTTTTCTTTGGCAGGCGGTGTAATCAAGAACTGATATTGGCTACAAAATCACAGGTCAAAACAGCTTGTATTTGCTTCTTATTTTGGAGGTGATGCTAATGGATAGAAGTGGCTACAGGAAGGTTAACACTTAAGCTGTCACCCTTCCAGCCCATGTTTGCCGTGTGCCCTTGCTTTAGTCAATCTCCAATGGATTCCCATCCTGCTCTTGTGAGCAGGTCAGAGTTCCTATGGTGGGAAGACACCGAAGCCTTGAAAGACATGGAGTGGTCAGTTGTATTTCAGGGATCTCTGTGTAGCTTGAATGTAACTTCCCCTCTAAAATAGATCATTTCTGGCTTTTGGGAGGTGCTGTCTGAGAAACGGAAAGGGAAATTATCTTGTGCAGTCAAATGAGTTGGATGTCTTGTGCTAAATGCCCCAGCCAACTGGGCTGGGAAAACAGAGCGGTGTGGGGAAGGTGTATCATTCTTCAGTGCAAGAAACCCAAATCAAATTGTACTTCCACTGGCCATTTCAAGTACCCAGAAATCTGTCTGTATTCCCATAATAATAATAATAAAAAAACTTTGCCTGATTGAGACAACTGCAGCATTTCATACCTCTTGCATTTACAAAACTCCTCTTCCAAAGGATGGTGTGTAGGGTGTTGTCTGGATGCTTCAGGACTGGAAAATAGTGCAAACTGATAGCTGTAGTGTCAGAGGAAGGAAATCCTGCTACTAGAAGATCTCAACTGAGTACAGATTTCATATAGGAAGAGGGGGAATGATGTATGAAGATGGAAATAGAGAGCTGCCATTTAAAACAGCAAAGAAAGTATTCGTCTACACCAGGCCCAGGTGTGAATGGAAGAATGAGGGACAGGGGAATGGATGTTGGAGTATCAGTTGCAGGGGGAAGTCTAAGGCAGCGTGGAGAAGAAATCCTGGATACAGCACAAATGAAAGAGCTCTGCTCTGGGAAGGGGAGCTGAGATGAGCAGGCAGGGAAAGTGGAGAAAAAACTTTAAGATGAAACTTGAAAACCAGGCAGGAACTGTGAATAGGATTGGTAAATGGATATGCTGCTAGAAGGCAGGATGGAGAGAGGGTGATATGCTTATGCTTCCTGCAGTGAAAGTCTAGCTGTGGTGTTTGGGATGCCCACAGGACTGGCCTGTAAAATATTATAAAAGGGAATTGCCAGGAATTAAGATGGGTAGATGATGAGGATGTTTGGTCAAGATGTGGCTGAACAAAGACAATTTTGTGGTTGCAGTGGTGGGCAAACCAGGGAGATGTTCTGGAAGGGATCTGAATTGAGGACTCTTCAATCTATGGCCTTGGGAGCAAAGAAAAGGAACTAGAGAAAGGAGAACTGTGAAACAAAACATTATTACTCCGGGTGCGATGTCGTCCTTTGACTGATTTAGTGTTAATTTCGCTGGTGTGTTCAAGCCAGGAGGTGGCAGTCCACTTGGGAAGCTGAAGGCTTGAGGAATGAGTTTAAAGAGCTAGAACAGGGGTCGGCAACCTTTCAGAAGTGGTGTGCCGAGTCTTCATTTATTCACTCTAATGTAAGGTTTCGCGTGCCAGTCACACATTTTAACGTTTTTAGAAGGTCTCTTTCTATAAGTCTATAATATATAACTAAACTATTGTTGTATGTAAAGTAAATAAGGTTTTGAAATGAAGCTTCTTAAACATTTTAAAATTAAATTTAAATGCAGAGCCCCCCTGGACCGGTGGCCAGGACCCCGGCAGCATGAGTGCCACTGAAAATCAGCTCGCGTGCCGCCTTTGGCACGCGTGCCATAGGTTGCCTACCCCTGAGCTAGAATAACGCTTGAAGGTAGCCACAAGATGGGCTGTGCATGGCCTGGATGGAGACTTATTGGAGGTGGCATTTCCACTAGAAACTAACACAGTGGTGTGAAGGGAGGCTTTAAAATAGATGGCGTTGGGACTTTGTTGTTGTGATTCCTGTGTTCAGCCGCATACAACCAGTATAACCTCAGATGCCTCCTAGAATCCTTTTCCCTGGCCGCACAGCTCTGCAGAGCGGATGCCCCAGGGACTGGCGCAGTGGCTCAGCGTGCTCTTGGGGCCGAGACGTGGCTGCAAACAGCGAAGTCCGTTTCAGTGAAAGGCTAGCCTCGCCTGTTGTAACTAGACCGCTGGTTTATACTGACACCATTACTAACGTGAGCTTGGTCAGCCTGTGCAATGAGATGTCACTCTGCATCTGTATAGCTCTGAACTGGGAGTGGTCCTCTTGAGAGAAGACGGCAACAGGTCTGTTTGTCTAATTAACTTAGTTGCCATTTAGTACTGGGGGGGGAGGAGGAGTCTCGGGGGACAACGACTGAGGAATGTGACCAGGCAGCTTATTGGAACTCAGTGGCTTTCTTCTAGTCTTGCACGTATTCGTATCATTCATACATACGTGACTAGGGAAGGGAAGTGACTCATCCATTCATAGAATTATTGCACAAGGTGTATAGCTGAATCGGCTCATAGTAGCAAGTTCAGATGCTCTTTGGAGACTGGGGGAGCTGGAACAGCAGAGCATATTTGACAGTGAAACCGCTTTGAATGCTTGAATTGGAAACCGTGTAAACGAGGCTTTTGCAGATGCAATTCATTTTTCTCTTCCGTCGCTAGCAGTGATAAGTAATGAAGCACATCCTATGAGCTCGTATGCTTGTTCTGTAAGGGCCCTTCAGATTAGGCGCTTGATATGTGGGATTAATGAACACCAGTAAATGAGTTTGTTGCCCTTAGTTTCATTCTTCAGCGGGTGACTAGGTCCATTGTTCTGGTCAAGCTGAGGGCTGGAGTTCTAGGTGTTTCCCCTTGATCCCTCCTTATTTGTAGGTGGACTAAAGCACTGTTCAAGTCAGCGGGGAGGAATCCCTGAAGCATTCTTTGGATGTTGTCTACAAGTCTGACGTGCTTTGCGTTGATTCACCGTGTTTGTGTTCCAGGCTGGGGGTCTAGTTATGTGAAGACAGGGCTATGAGCTCTCCGCCAGCAGAGGCATTCCCTCAATCAGTCTGGCAGTGCGTGTGACTGGCCACTGGGTTCTGACGCTGCGGGCTGCTGTGTAGGATGCATTGTAGCAGTCCCTCACTGAGGAGATTTACTCCCTACAGCGTAATTGTTGCTACCTTTCTTGCAAAGGCAGGGTCCCCGCTAAGACCTGACTGGTCTCTCCTGCATGTGCTCTTACATGCCAGGCCAATGGACAGGGAACGTTTATCCAACGTAGCCATTGTTTTGAGCTGTCAGCTCCCGAATGGACAAAGAGCCTGTCTGAGCATCCAGCTCTCTCAGTGCAGAGGATTC